CCCCCCCCCCCCCGCTCTGTCACCTACCGCCAACACTTGTGCCACAATAACATCAGGCTCCTCCCGCGCCACCCTAATCCCTAGGCTTGACCGCGACAACATTTCGAACGGAGTGCGGTGTCGGTGAATCAAGGTGAATCAAGCTTGCCCCTAGCCCCCACGCCAAACTCCGTTCCAACACGAAAAAAAAAAATGCTGGGGTCTAAATACGGATCAGAAGGCGCTACGAATCAAATCGGTAATACCCTCGGTTGCGTCACGTACACGTACATACCACCAACGCACCTGCCAAAGCAAGATGAGGCTCCCCAGCCACCCCGATCCCCCCCCGTCGGCACCGCTGCCAACCCCATCTCCTGACGGGGCCCCTACCCCCTCCGCTGCCTCCGCCGCTGCCGCTATCGCCTCCGTCGACTCAGCTACCGCCCAATCAGAGGTAGACGCGAACAGCTCCACCCACACCGCCCCCGCCACCGAGATGAAAACTCCCAGACACTTGAGCTGAGACATCTGCTCCAGGCCCAGCATGTATGACAACAGCTGCGGCCGGAATTTGCCGGCATTCAGAGGAGAGAAGACGGGTAGGGGAGGTCTCACGAAGGTCCCAACGGCCGTGTGTAGAAAGAGAGGTACGGGCGGGATTCAAGCTCTGTAACAAAAAAAGCGAACCACTTTTCATGCAATCAATGGGATGGGGCCTTCCTATGGACGGCTGAAATAATGAGCCGCTTTGGTCGTGTTCGATAAAGCAGTTGGCCCTTGCGGTGGGGCGGGGGGGCCAGGCGGGGAACGCTGACATCATTCACCCGATCGCAGAAATAACGCAGCTCGGGTGTGTAGCAGTGGCCTTCGCACGACGCGTGCACCGCTGTAGCGTGTCGGTGTGTATTGATGGTGCTTGCACCGTCAATTGGAAATTGATGAAGCTTGCACCGTCATCTGGGAAAGGACATGATTGGTTGGCACCTTTGGCCAGATATAAGGTCGTCACCGGCTTGCTATACATCTCTCGCATTAACGACAGCAACAGCCCAAGAAAGAACGGGGTCTGTCTCGTCTCTCACCATGGCAAGGACTGGGATGGAAGGCTGCATCACCCCGAAAGCCATCGGGTTAAGGCTCCTGCCGTGGCCACATCGAGAAGGAGCAAAGGAGGGTGCGCGGTTTCGCCGTAGCAATCCCCGCGGGGGAAGGGAGAGAAGCGGAGAGGAAAGGGGAGGGAGGGGATGGGAGCAGGGCGACGGGGGCAGTCGTTGAAAGTAGCAGCAAAAGAAAGTCCGGAACGAACCCCAGCGACGGCGAACAGAGAACACGCCTTACGTAGAGCCTCGACACCATATGCACACGGGACGTTGCTCCCAAGACCGACAAACGAATCAGCGTCGATCTATACCCGCTCATCACACAGACAGGGGAAATGCCGCACACGGCAGCAGAGATAAACACACAACGCAAAGGCACGTGGACCGTAGAGCGAAGAGATTGATCCGGCTGTGTGATCCCGGCGCCAATAGAGCATCAGGTTCCCGCCACAACAGCGAACAAACGGCGACACAGGACGCGGGGGGGTTCCGACGCGTAACCCCACCCCCCGATTTTTTTCCGATCTTTTTCCGTGAACCCCCTTCGAGCGAGACGATAGGGAGCGCGACGGCCTTAACCCCGCAGGAGCAGAGAGAGGCGACCGACTGGATACCAGTGTAGCTGAGGAAGGTGGAAGAACATGGCCGTGTGACGCAGCATTGCCTACCCCATGTGATCATTGCAGGAGCGGGGGCCGAACGGACGTGTCCCCGCATACGGGGAGATCGAGAAGCTACAAATCGGACTGAATGTGGCAATGAAATACGTGAGTTACTTGCGCATTCAGATCCTAGGCTGCTGAAGTACAATCTTCTCGATCTCCCCGCATGCGGGGACACGTCTGTTCGGCCCCCGCACCTGCAATGATCACATGGGGTAGGCAATGCTGCGTCACACGGGTAGACAATTTAGACTGGGATAGAACACAGGTAGGAAGGGCCACATGTGCTATTGAGGGTATCACAAGTGTCAAGGTTCGCTCAAAGCAGAGAAAAGCGCCCGTGCACTACACAGGACAAGTCTCTTCCGGGGGAAACGCAAACGAGAACATCATATGGGGAAAAAAAAAGAAACCGATCAAAGAACATTAAGAACATGGATTGTCACACCTGAGGGCGAGTATGCAGCCGACCACGTTCCCGCAGCTGGCAAGCCCCATCCAAAAGAACCGAATCGCATGCGCCGGGTCTAGAGACACGGCACCGTCGACTCTGATGTTCCGGACAAGAAAAAAAAGAATGTTGGGGAAAGGAGGCGGGGTTTGGGGAGGCCGGGGGCGGGGCGAGGAGGAAACAGCTCGACAATTAAGAATGAAACGAAGAATTGTTGAGTCGGCGTGCCTACTCGCCAGATCGCCGGGGTCAAATTTACGTTGACCGCGCAGGAATTTCCAGGCTGGCCACCGTTTCTGCTGATGATAAGTGACACCGCCAGCGTTTCCAACCGCGTGCCCTTGTAGGAATTCTGCCACGCCTCTTTCTGGCGAGAGAGGCTGTTTGCTTGTCCTTGCTTCCCTGCGTAAAATGTGTTGTTCACCAGCCACAACAATGCTGCGTTGATGGGTTGATGGATTTGATGACAAGCTGGCAGAAAAGGACAAGTCATGGAATGCCCCGGGGCTGACACGCTTTGGCCAGAGGCGGCGGAAGCGAGCTGGGGGTACACGAAAATAGCGCACGACACGTACGCACTTCACAACCTAAGGCACCGGCCCACTAAATAATTTGTTGACCACAGGGTGGTCTTGCTGGGCGGAGCTCGCCGCCGTGTACAATACATGGGACTAAACCCAACTAAAAAAAAAAATCATTGGGGAGCAACGTGCGGTGGCTGTTTCTGCTGCTTCGTAGACTGCCATGATCAACCCGACAACGAGCAAAAAACCCTTACGTGCCAGCTTCCGTAGGTGTCGTCTCTCCAGACCGCATAGATGTAGGTCATCTGCATCAATACATTCACCCTCCAACATGCAAACACGGAGAGGGCTTGCTGTTGGTGTCTCTTTTTACGGCATGGCCCCAAGTCGCCGTTCTAATCGGCTGCTGCTGTTGTTACTGCTGGGGCCGCCTTCGCGCGATTAGTAAGCTAATGAGGAAACTGAATAGGGAGGGGGGACGCAGACCCTATTCCCAAACCCAACTTCCCCGATCGTATCCTTTACCCGACATGTTTACATAATTCGAAAAATACTGCGAAGGCTACTGCTGTGCTGCTGCTGCTGCCACTGCAACCGCTGCAGCAGCAGTACAAGCACAAGCTTCCGTTGCACCTTCGCGCGATGATGAACATGAGGATGGTGGCGCAGATCTCTCTTGCCATGGCGAGGGCCACGGCGTTGACTCCGTCGTTCAGGGCAACCTTCGCCAGCACATGCCACCCGGAGAAGCACACCTGCGACACAACACAGCAGTCAACCAAAAAATCAGCAAAATCAGCAGATGTGACACGCACAACACATGATGTTGTTGTTGTTGTTGTTGGTGGTGGTGGTGGTGGTGGCGGTGTCTCATGATTCGATGTTCTATTGTTGACTTCGCAGCAAAACCTCCTCAGTATTACAGTGTGTAGCCTAACAACCGTAATGGTCCAACTGACGCGGACGCCTTCCGTAGTCACAGGCCAATCAAAAACATGCGGCACGACAAGTCCGTCATGTACCAGCACACGCGTGTTCGTCCAGATCGAAAGAAACAAGGGCGATCGCTGCCGCTGTGTAAGCAGGTGTCACTTGGATGATGTTAGGGGAAACTTCGGCGGTACACCTCCCTCACATGTAGCCCATAGTGGAAGGTTTCATACAGCCTTGCGATGCCTGTCGAGATTGAATATGCATATGGATACGAGTACGAAGACGACCAGAAAACAGAAGAAATCCTGCCGAAAGTAGAAACGGCATCCTGCTGAACGCCCCACCGGTCCCGTTCTTTTGTTGTGTTTTTCTGGGAGCGTGTACGTCGAAATTGATTGCTGGCGCTGCGCCCCCAGGAGACATTCATGAGCAAGGGGCACCGATAGCGCCACTGCTGTCATATCAATACGCGCGCGAATAAAACACGAAACCTTTTGCGTCAATTTCCTCGGCGATGGGGAAGCTTCGTTTAGATGGTTGACGTACAGGTCTTCTGGCTACTGACTACATAAAGAGTACACAGAAGAAGATTGCAAAACATCGCTCATTTGGTCTACACGTGGGTACAGCATGTATGCACCAGAGGGTGGATGTCCCCAGTATTTCGTGTAGCGCTCGCCATGGGTGACAGCAGCATCACGCGTGTAACACACAACAGATCACCACCCCCGCACCAACGAGAGAGCATTCGGTACTTTGAGGCATGGGGTTTGGCACAAGGAAGTGGACTGTTGTCCTTTCTCCGATGAAGCAAGAAGGGGCCACGGAGAAAACGAGAGTCACAGAGCCAAGCGAGAGCCCTGAACGCGATGCCCGCAGATCAAATTCATCTTGAGTTCGGGTGGATGAGGTTGGGGTTTTGTTCGTTTTTCTCCATATGAGGTTCGTGCCTAGAGTTCAGCTGTAGTGTTTCAACCAAAGTTTTGTTGACTTAGAGGCAAACATTCCTAGCTATTGGGCATCGAGTTAATTTGGCTTGGCATGACGGCCTGTACCATCGACTTTTTATGTATGTCTGCATTTATCTGCAATTGTCGGAGGGCAAACAAAATCATAATAATTCATCTTCTCGTTCTTGGCCATCTTATAACAGCAACAGCACCATATTTTAGGGGCTGCGAAGGGTCCACCTTCGAGAGCCCCAAAGCTCGCTCGCGCACGAGCAGCTCGCGGCTGGAGAAAACAGAGCTGCAGAGCTACGTGGCACGTACCACCATTGACCAACACAACAAAGACACCAGACAGCAGTGGGATAGAAGTTTGAGCCCACTGGTCACACCTCGATATTTATCGAGACGCTTCCAGACACTAACCTGTACCGAGAAGAGGACCAAATGCACGAGCGCACTGTTTGGCTTCTCTCTGGCATCCTTGTTCAAGCACGACACGGGACAGATGCCCCCCTTTCCCATCCTAGACATTTGACGCGGGTAATGCTCGTTGGCGTTGGACGAGATGGATCATCTCATCTATCCGCGCCTTCGCGGCTCGCTGCGCCAGGGGACCGGCAGACCGGTAGATTGATGCTCACGAACGATTTGTGGATGTGAGGCTGTACATACGATGTGTTCTGCGGAGCCTCGGACGAAATAATTAGACCGCATTTTTCCGAAACGGCGCAAGCACGGCCTTCGTTAATGGCCGATATGCTGTTGAGGCTTTCACGTTTGTACGTGCGTGATGCGGGTGAACTTGTGGGTACGCTGATCTCAAAGGCAACGGTCTTCGCCATAGGACTGCTTTTTGCGTACGAGTGAGAGACTCTCGATCCTCCTCTGCACTGTAAAATATCTGACGGACCGTTGCATCCGCTTCGATACCGTACACTACTCTAGACCGCCGACGACCTGCTGCGCGGAACTGCTGCAAACGCCCATTAGTATCCCCTCGCACTTGGTACGTCTCACGCCTCTTGTGGTTACAACAAAGGCACGTCAGACTGAATCTTCTGCCGAGGGACCATGAAAGCTGCCGACTACCGCATACCATGGGGTCGACCGAGCGAGCACCTCCTCGCCGTGAAACGTGAGGTCATTGGCCAACAACGCCACCTGCAACGAGTCGAGGACGCTCGGAATCGAAGCACAATTGACACCGAGCCCCCCGAGTGCGCTGACATGCCGCATCTCATCTCGAGACCAAAGAAAAAGAAGGTATGCCTCTTCGGTGCAGGCTAGCCTAGCGGACGGAGTGTGCAAACGTTAACGTTGTGAAGCGAGAGAGTCGGGTGTTGGCGATGTATCAGACAACTCCGATGCACACGGGTGGAATAGGTGAGGGTGTACAAGTGCTGTTTGTGTGCCCATGGATCTTATAGAGTGTATCGAGGTATCACCAGTGGAACGCCAGTGCTACACTTCCCAGCCGACTGCGGGTTGAGACATATTTGAGAGCACGCCATTGCCTACTATACGCACATGATCGGAGCCCATCAGCATCCATTCGTACATTGTTCACTCCCCTTCGCAAGAAGGCTGCTCACATTGTAACCGTTGGTCGTGTGGTTCATACTTGTACTGCGAAGAATTCAAATACAAGAAGATGCCCCACAAAGGACTTCTCCCCATGTGACCCCAGATTGGGGCTCTTCAGTCAGAGAGGCGAGGCCGTAGGTACCCAGCAGTAAGGCACTGCGAAGACAGATGACAAATTGGATTGCGAAAAACGGAGGGAAACATGAGGTTTTCGTCGTGTCTCTTCGAAGGAGAGGGGCCGGCGATGCTGTTGCTATTTGGTGTGATTCTTAAGCAACACCATTCACCTTGATATCGAGAACGATCAGCAGATCGCTTGCTGTAGAACTCCTACCAACTCTTTTCGCTTCTTCTCGACCCACGAAACTCTAACATATCTTCGTCTTCTTTTCTTTGACCTCTCAACCCTCAAATCGCTTCATTGACAGATGCAAGAAGACAGACAACGTGAGATTGCCGCCGAAAATTACTCACTCATGCATCGTTTAGCCAGCATCATGAAGGAGGAGCGGAGAGATCCCGTTCGAAAGTTCGCGCACCTTTCCGTGGAGTACAGAGAGAGCCTGCGAAGGAAGAAGCTTCTCAAGCTCGAGGTGACCGTCCTCTCGAACATCTCACAACAAACATAGAGAGAGCCATGTTTGCTTGTACATCGTACCTGAATGATGACTAAACAACGCGCTTATTCTATTCATACATGCAAGCTCGACATCGCCAACGGATGATAGATTCCCTTAGAATACACCCCGCTGTCTTTGGATTAGTTTTACGAGAGACGGACTCGACAACTGGACCGACGCAATTATATATGAAGCACATGTGTTGGAGGATTTCGTCGTTAGGGTTTTGCTCGTGCGTACAGAGTGCGTCGTACCGCTACTACAACCGTCACCGGTGCCGTTAGGGACAGGTTTTTGAGCTGTAATGTATCAGCGAGCATGTATGTCATGCTGCACGGTCAGGCACGCCTAGCGCCTGGAGCTCTCCGAATCGGACCCTGTTTGACAACCAACGAAACGTGTCAAGACCACTGAAAAATTCCACGATCATCATTGTTCCTTGGTTGCAGTAGTACCAGGAACAATATCAACTTGTTGGTGTTCGTATCACTTCTTCTATGTCCAACAAGTTGAAACGTGCCGTAGTCAATCGTAAAACATCTCGCTGTATACACAAATCTGATACGACGGTTCTGTAATATGCAACCGATGACGACCGTTCAGGGTTTGTCCGGCTTCTGCTTTGATTTGGGCTTGTGACGCGAAACTGCTCTCTTCTGATACAATTGAATTCTCCCCATGTTTTTTTCCCCGAGCCTTTCTCCGCGATTGACTGCTGCGCCGAACGATTTCACGCCTCATTGACAACTGGACCCATATTCGGCAAAACCCACAATGATAACACCAGACGGAGAATCGTAGGCTGGCACGCTCGATAAGAGAACAAAGGCCTTTCTACCCCAACCGGGTGATGGAAAAGGAAGAGGAAGAACGACAAGCACTGCTCAAGACCATGTCTCGTACGGAGCGCCGGCACGAGAGAATAGCCAGCTTCAAGGCAAGCTCTGGCCATGGCAACAACAGCAACTCGCCGGGCCAGATTAGGCAAGAACAATCCGCAGCTGCAATGACCGCCAGCCTGGTGGAGGACGGCGTCCTGTTCCGACCCGGGCCGACGGCGATCAGACTCCGGACGGCGAAGCAGATGCAGCTGGCAGTCGCCCGCCGGAGACGAGGCAGCAATGGCGACGGCAGCGGTGGCAACGGAGTTGATACCACGGACTACCACTTGTCTTCGGGGACCGGCGGAGAAGCAGGGGAAGGGGGAACGGCACAGGGGCTTCATCCCTCGTCAACGATGACAGCGGGAGGACCCCTGGTGGTTAAGAGGAGAGCGTACGGCAGCGACGGCACCGCGGCTGCGGCAGCCCGCGCGGGGGGGCTAGTACTCGAGGTCAATCGAACCGGGGGTGGCGGCGGCGGCGGCCGCGGCGGCGGGCGGAGGCGCAGCGTGCCGAGGGCAGGGGAAGGGCGACCAAACATGATCTTTACGCCCTCTCTGGCGCCCATCGGGATGGAGTCCGTCCGGTCGTGTCCCATGAGCTTGGGGAGCGGGGGGTTAGGTCAGACGAGCTCGGTGAGGTGGGCGCCAGAAACGATGGAATCTGCTGTTACCACGGAAGACTCGCTGGGGGAGGGAGGGGAGGAAGGGGTGTCGGAAGCCTTGCGCGACACCCGAACGGTGTGAATTAGTGATCACCTTTCGATTGGATAAACAGAAACGCCGCCACATATCTGGTGCCGTACCACGAGCCCTTACGGCTGTATGATGCGCCTCATCACGTCGTTTTCGACAAAAGAGAAGAGTCTGCACGTATCCATCGACCATCAATCGACGTCAACAGGAAGCACAACGCAAGTTAGACATCTTCATGAGTACCGGCTCGGTCGTTCATGCCCACGGAGAAGACAACAAACACCACTTACGCCGCACGGCATGTTTTTAAGTGCGGTACGCCAGACTGGCTCGAAAAGAGCGAGGTGACCTTTCATTCAGCGCGCATTTTTTTCTGGGCCAATACCTTGACGCAGGGCATACCGATAATTTCATGGTTTCCACATGACATCAAGAGTGTTATTTCATCACAACACGAGAAAAGTAAACGACGACAGCACCAACAAAAACCGGAAACGCAAACGTCCAGCTCAAAAAACAAGAAGGAGGGTCGTGGGTGGCCCTCGCACTACAACAGCAGCGGTTACATCGATGGGCGAAGGGTTGTCTGTATTGGCGCAAGAGACACGGTGGCAGTGTGTAACTAACGCACACAAATGACTCTCCCCCCATCATATCACCCCAGTGTGAGAGTTGTACACAAAGTTGGGAGAAACATAAAAAATATCACTTGGATCGCCTCTTCGCCTGATAAATTTATTTACAAACCGTTGTGTGTGTGGGGGGGGGGGGGGGGGGG